ATCTAAAATAAAAACATTTTTATTTGTATTACCACCTTTAGGGCAAGTGGATCTATAGAATTAATCATAATAAAATTTTCTTCAAAAATGTATAGGTCCTACAATATGTATTATAACAGTACTTAACTAAACACAAAACCAAAATAAAATGCTACTGTGTATTCAATATTTGGTGAAAATCCAAACATGTATAGTAAAGAATATATGTCAATATATAATATTAGCATACTTTTAGGAATAGTGAAAATGATAGCTTCACATTTCAGACACACGGCTCAAAGCCTAGGCAGTGGTGACAAGCCTATGGCATGCATGCCCCAGCAGGCACACGGAGCCCTTTCTGTGGGCACACGAGCCAAGGCACCCTCAACAGCTGAGCATTGCTTAACAGTTGTTTTTTCTAAACTAAAACTTCAGTGTTTAGGTTTAATTGCACTGTTGGCACTTTGCATAAATGTGTTTTGGGTTTCAGTTTGGGCAGTTGTCTCTAAAAGATTCACTATCATTGGCTGAGAGAACAATGAATACTTCAGAGAAAAGTCTTCAGTAATATCTTCTCCTAAAATGTTCGTATTTGTGATGACTGATTCCCTTACTTCAAGAAGTTAACTGTTATACTTTCCTGCACATTTAGAATAGAGTAAGATCAAGACACTGATAGAAAAAGGAGAAAGTTGCAAGAGTCATATTTCCATTAAAGACTTACAAAAGGCTGCAAGTAATTAAATCAGTGCAGTACTTTAAAAAGGATAGACAGATAAATAGAACAGACAAAAAAAATCCAGAAATAGACTTACAAATACAATGACTTGATTTTTTACAAAGGTGCAAAAGCAACTCAATATAGAAAGGATAGTCTTTTCCACAAATGATACTGAAATAACTGGACATTCAAAAACCGAAAGTAAAAAAACAACCAAAAAACTCAACCCATGCCTCACACCTTTTTTAAAAAATTAACTCAAAATTTATCATACACCTATATACAAAACCTAAAACTATAAAAGAGAAGAAAAATAGGAAAAAAAATCTTAATGAACGCCCATTTAGGCACAGAATTCTTACAAGTAACACCAAAAACTATCTACAAAAGGAAAAAATTGGACTTTAACAAAACAAATGTTTGCCCAGCAAAAGTACTGCTAAGAAGACAGGAGAAAATATTTGCAAATAACGTATTTGATGAATGATAAATGTAAAATGTGTAAGCAACCCTCCAAATTGAACAATCTGAAGACAACCCAATTAAAAATTGAGCAAAAGATTTGAAAACTTAGTCACTGAAGAAGAGATACACATGGGAAGTAAGTACATAAATAAAAGTCCAACTTTCGTACTCATTAGGGAAAATGTAAATTAAAATTACAATGAGGTACCACTACATACCTAGCAGCATGACTAAAATTAAAATCAAAAACTGATAAAGTTGTGCTAGCCCAGATGTCAAGCAAATAGAGCTCTCTTACCTTGCTAGGGAGAATGCAAGATGATATACCTAATTTGGAAACAAATTAACAGTTTCTTAAATTAAATATTCACTTACCACATAACCCAGAAATTAGACCTAAATATTCACTCAAGAGAAGTGAAAGTTTACTATCACTTACAACCACTCCATGAATGCCTAATGCACCTTTAATCATAACTGCCAAAATAATAAACACCCAAAGCCTCATCAGCAACTATCTAGACAAACAAACACACAGCCAAACAATGGAATATTAGCTAAGAATAAAAAGGAATTAACTACTGATATACGCAAAACATGAACAAATCCCAAGTATATTTTTCTAAGTGAAGAAAGCTTGATTCAAACACATACATACCCTATGGTTCCAATTATATGACATCCTGGAAAGGGCATAAAGATACAGATGAACAAATCTGTGCTTCTCATATATGGTCAACTTTCTCCACAACGTACAAAAGCTGGTAGGCAGGGAAAGGAAAGTGCTGAAGATATGATGTGGGAACAATAAATGTAAGAGGGCGGGGGATGAACCTCAAGCTCTACCTAATATCACACACTCTGCAACTGACCACAGATGGAGGCATAAAAACTATAAAATTTGTAGATAGGACATTACCATTGGCCTCATAATCTTGGATATGAAAGATTACTTGGTACATTCAAAAAGCATAAAATTTATAAGTTTGATGTCATCAAAATTTTAAAACTTGTGATCATCAAGAGAACCATTAAAATGAAAAACCAGATGAGAGACTGAGAGAAAATACCTGTGATATATACACAGATGCTCCTTCACCTACAATAGGGTTATATGTCAATCAACCCATCATAAATTGAACATATCGAGTTAAAAAATCCTAACACAGGAAACTATTGAGCATCAGAGCTCAGCAGCACAGTATGCTGTTAGAGGGTTGATTATTTACAGCCCTGACCACACTGCTAACTAGGAGCTACACTGCATTACCACGGCTGCCCAGCACACTGAGAGCATATCACAGTGCATATGCCTCCGAACACAGAAAAGATCAAAACCCAAAGCTGAAACTACAGTTTCTACTGAGTGCATACTGTTTGCCCATGATGACAAAAATGAAAAATTTGAAGCCAAACCATGATAAATTAGGGATCATGTGCATATGACAAACAGTATATATTCAGGCCATATAAAAAACTCTTACAAATCCATAATAAAACAAGAACAGCTCAATTTTTTAATGTAAAAATATTTGAAGAGATAATTTACAAATAAAGACATACAAGTATCAAATAAACACGCAAAAAGTGCCCAACTATCATTAATCACAAAAAAACGTAGCTTAAAACTACAATCAAGCCAGGCGTGGTAGTGCACGCCTATAATCCCAGCACTTGGAAGGCGGAGATAGCAGGATCATTGCAAGTTCAAGACCAGCCTGGGCTACAAAGTGAGCTTAAGGCCACCCTGAACTATATAGCAAGACCCTGTCTCAAAAAGACAAAAAAAAAAAAATAAAACTACAATCAAGCCAGGCATGGTGGCACATACTTGTAACCCCAAAATTCAGGAGGTTGAGGCAGGAGGACGGTGCGTTTAAGGCCACCCTGGGCTACACAGCAAATTTAAGGCAATCTAAACTACAAAGTGAGACCTTACTGAACAACAACAAAAAGCAAGAAGACAGGAAAGCATAATCAAATATCTTTTTCAAACCACTATTTAAAAAGAATGACATAACCAAATCTTGCAGTGTAGAAGAGGAACAATGAAAACTCTGATATGTTGTGGAATATGAAATGATATAACCATTTTGGAAAAAACATCTGATAATTTCTTTTACGTCTATCCCATGCAGGATGTGACAAGTACACTCTTATGGGTTAATTCAGAGAAATGAGAATATATGTTGATCGAAGACTTGTAAAACAATATTTGTAGCAAGTTCACTTTATAATAGCCAAAACCGAACAACCCAAATATCCATCTACCCAGAATCAAATTGTGCTACAGGTATAAAATGGAATACCACACAACCATAAAAATGGAATACTACACAATTATAAAGATATACATAAATCATGAATAAAATTATGTTCAAAACATTAATGTTGGCTGGAATAAGACAACTACCAAAGACTACTGAATTATTCCACTTACATGAAAGTCAAGAGCTGGTGAAACTAACCTATGATACTAGTTATCAGAACAATGGTTGCTTAGGATGGGCCAGGTGTAATTGTGCACACCTTTAGTCCCAGCATTTGCGGGGCAGAGACAGGAAGATCACCATAAGTTTGAGATCAGCCTGGACTACACAGTCAGTTCAAGGCCAACCTGAATTGTAAAGCAAGGCCAAGTCTCAAAAACAAAACACGCTGCTTATGAAGGAAAAGTAACCAGCAGAAGGCATAAAAGAACTTCAGAGAGTAATTGCTTGAAGCCTTCTAAATAGGGTAATGATACATGAGAATTTACATTGATTGAAGTGTATGTTTAAAATGTGTGCACTTCAATGTATTAATGCTACCTCTAAAGGAATAAATTGAGTCTTTTACTTCAGAAGTAGAAAATGCAGAATATATTATATGATAGCCTGCATGCATTGTAAAATTGCTATTTTCAAAAAGTATATTAATTGATTCATTCAAATTCATATAGAAAGGCATAAATTTATATAGGGTCCTTTAGTTCAGGGATACAAAGAAGTCTGATTTTAAGCATTCTGACATCAGATATTTGCAAATTATAAACAACTTTCACATACATGCATGCATAAATACATAAATATCTTATAGGGAGGCTTTCTTTAAATGAAACTTGCCAATGTAAGCATGAATGGACCAAGTGAAGAGGTTCAATACTAATGAATGATGATAAGAATAAAAAACCTCCTGGTTCCGAAGCATCTTATCTTGGGAACAAAAGTGGATCTATTGCTAAGTTCACTGCCAAGAAGTATACACAATTATTAGTTATTCATGATAAGCAGATATGATAGTTAACAACGTAAGTAATGCTGACAATTATTTATATGAAAAAATGGTTAACTATTCAGAACTATTCTGAAAGACAGCAAAGAAAATATAATACATCCCATAATCAATGATTTTACAAAAGGGCCTACAACTGTAACTCTAGTTTTTACATACTATTAGTAAGTATAATAAATTTTAACTCCAAATGGATTAAAACCAGACTTTCGCAGGAACCTCCACAACTGGACATATGGATGAAAGGGTACTTATACTAAAACTGACTATGTTTTACCAGATCACTTAATCTTTTACTTTAAAAATAAGAGATAAAATTTTAAGATTTAATTGATCAGTGCTTTCTGGGATGTTCTAACCACAAGCTCGTCTCCCAAAGTAGAAGATAATGTATCACACAGAAACAGATACAGGTACCCACGCACTCTATCCCTCTGTGTGTGTCTACATATGTCTAAACAAGCTCTAAGAGGCTCTCAAGAAGTTTTAAACCGGTTTTTAAATTCCTGAAATAATCACATGAGCAACCCGTTTTCATCGCTCCTGGTGGTGTGCATACCTGCGCCCTCTTCTGCACCTCCAGCAAAAGCTCAGAATACTGAAGTTCCAGTTCCTTCTTCTGTTTGTGCCAGCAACTCTCTTGGGCTTTGATCTGTTCAGCCACTTTGTTAAAGGTGTCCTCCTGGGTCTGCTGAAGCTCTCTCATTGTGTCTGACTTGTTCTTACAGATGTACTCTAGATGGCTCACCTATGAGAAGAAATGAAACAAAAAATGAGATATGCCAAAAAAAAAAGTTGTTTACAGCACCTTTCCAAAATACATTCAAATTTTTCTTTCTCTTCTTTTTTTTTTTTCTGGTCTTTTTGAGACAGGGTCTCACTATGCAGTTTAGGCTGGCTGGCCTTGAGCTCACTTTGTAGCCCTGGCTGGTCTCAAACTCGCAAAGATCTTCCTGCCTCAGCCTCCCAAGTGCTAGGATTACAGGCGTGTGCCACCATACCCGGCCAAATTTTTCTATGACACCTTATCCCTTAAGATCATACAAAAATTTTAAGCTAATATGTACATTTAAGAAATAGGAATTAGTGTTTACAGCACCTCAACTTATAATGGCTGTATCTTGGAAGCAGCCTATATGCCCCAAAACAGATGACTGCATAAAGAAAAGGTGGTATTATGTACAATGGAGTACCGCTGTGCCATGAGGCAGGATAAACTTGAGTCGCTTGTAGGAAATGGATGCTCCTTAAAGCCACAGTGTTAAGTAAAATAAATCAGACACAGAAGTTTAAACACTGCATGATTTCTGGAAAATGAGAAACCCAAAATATAAATAAATTATACAGCAAAATAAGAGGTAACAGGCAAACAGGGAGCTGGATCTCTCACACAGGGAAGGGGACCAGGAGAGGAGGGGAGAGGGGACGGAGGAGAGGGGAAGCGGGTGGAGAAAGACACAGGTGTGCTGTGTGCACACACTAACCCCCAGGAGGACTGCAACCACTACGTGCTGCAAACACGGACTAAGAAATAAAATAAAATTTAATTTTTAAAAAGACAGCAAAAAGAGGGAACAGAAATAAACAGGTTAAATGATCGTATCTTAGCAGAAAAAGGAGTCGTAATACTGAAGACAACAAGATTTCTGTTCTTTTTTTCCTAATGAAGTTATTCATTCTGTAATCAATTTTCCTGAGATGATTTAAGAAAGATATTCTTATTTTTAGAACCAAAGCTCAAGCTATTGAGATTTATCAATGGAAAGGAAGTGTTTAAAAGAGATTCGCAAATCTGCAGACATTTTTACATATAATGAAGCAGAATGTTCTATTTTTCTAAGTCACAAATAAAAAAGAAAGTCCTTATCTTCTAAAATGCAGAACAATTAATGATGCTTTGAAACTGTGAAAAACTATTAAAACCATAATACCATCTCAGATGGTTAAAATACACCCATTTAAACTATTAGTAATTTAAACCCATTATACACATATTCAGAATCACAAGCAGCATCTGTATTTCTCACAATTTATTCCTGCATTTCCCAGCTCCACTTCTCAGTGCCTATGACAGTTTGCCAAGAGAATCAAGGTAAAATGCTTAAGGGTAAGAAACCTCACCCTAAAACCAGATTGTTTTGTTAGTTCAATAGACTTCTCTTAAAAACATACAGAACATTTTTTTCTTCCTTTCTCTTAAGAACAAATGTTATTGTAATTAAGACCTGGGAACTAGACAATATACACACAGTTCTGACCAGTTCAACAGAACAAGGATAAGAATCAATATCTTTAACAGTGACATATGTTTATTTGCTAATCCATTTTTATTTTCTATAACCAAAATCCAGATTTTTTTTCTTTTTCAGAAAAAGACTGCATTCCTACCTTTGTGAAATGGAAAGTGACCATAAAAGTCTATTGTTTTGTTCTTACAAAATAGATGTCTTACATTTTAAAATACAGACTGAGTTTTCTTATATACAGTTTGCTGTATTTCCAGAAACAAGCCATGTACATATAATTTAAATTTTTCTAAGTGCTTTTAAAATAACACCTATTTCCTAAGCAATGAATTTTAAGATAATGTTTTTGAATAACCATATCCTGTTTCTATTTTACACTAACATAAAGAGTTGGTTTATTAATGTAAATGACTAAGTTCTTTGAATTGCTTCATCAGTAAGATTAATTTATTTTCTTTTAATTAGGTCCCTGTGGCTAATACTGGCTAGTAGTATTAGCATGTCCTGCACAGAAAGTGGAGCTTAGAGACTTCATACAGACTTCAGTCACATTTACATGCCCACAGCAATGGCATCAAACTGAGTTGTAGACAAGCTATAATTAATGGTATTGAATTATTAACATCCAAATTCTTTTTGAAATAAGATGAATGTCAGCCCCTCTTAATGATACTGTGATGTGGACAAATGTCACTGAATTTAATAGAGGTATCTGGTGCCTGAGGACAGTTACCTTCTCATTAGCCCTGTTGAGGTCTGCAATGAGGGCATCAACATTCTCCTGCAAGACTGCACAAAGCTCAGACCAAGAGAATTTATCCAACATGCCTTCTGGTTGTTTCATGAGCACACAGCCTGCTACCAAGTGCTGATACAAAGTATGAAGGAAGGTTAGCTTCTCCTGCAAGAGAAAGACAAATTAATTCTTCTATATAAACATTACAAAAAGTAGAACACATAATACAGTGAAAAATTTATTTCTAAAAACTAGAAACTAAAATACTCAAATTTCGGGGCTGGGGATTTAGCTCACCGGCAAAGCGCCTGCCTGGCAAGCGCAAGGTCGTGAGTTCGGTTCCTGGTACCGGAGAAAAACCAAAAAGAAAAAAAAAAACTCAAATTTCAAATACTGTCATTTAGATAACTTTTTTCACATATAATACCAAGCATTAGACAGAATATTCGAAATTTCTTACAACTGGAGTTCAAAATCAAACTCTAATTTTTAAAAGCCAAAAGACCATGTTTCTGACCCCATCTTTGCTCCTGCATAAGAATGTGATCTGAGTTAGCGTGTGTTCGGGATGGTAGTTCTGTAATTTCTTATTATATTTACCAAAACACATGCTGAGTCCAAAAGCAATGTAAACAAAATTATCATTCAATTCTGACAAAGAAAACATCAGATTATACCAATTTCTGAGCTTCACATGTACACAATACTCAGCCTTCTTCCTGATCCAGGGATTCCATTTTCCTTGCCACTTATGGGAAATCAGACAGATATAACATAAAAGACACGGAAGAGGGGCTCATTTGCTCTTCCCTACTTACCAGTTTATGTAGTACAGTATCTGACACATTGGGCATTTGTAGGGTTTAAGGTATGACAAAGTAATAGGCCAAAAAGAGTGGATATAGCTTCCCAAGGAACATTTCCAAAAATATCCAGTTAGAAATGAGTAGGAAAAAAAGCCAGGCATGGTGACATATGCCTATAATCTCAGCACTTGGGAGGCTAAGGCAGGAGGACTGCCGTGAGTTTGAGGCCAGCCTGGGCTACGTAGTGAGTTCAAGGCCACCCTAGACTACATAGCGAGACTCTGCCTCAAAAAACAACAAAACGAACAAATAAATAAATAAATAAGTTCTCTAAAAGCATAGTATTATTACAGTTACTAAACTATCCATTATTGAATGACCTAAAATTATTTACTATGCTCTAGAATTCCAAAGCTGACCCTATCTTGAACACAGAAGCAGTATTTACTTACATAATGCCAAGTGGCTCTCTTTATAAGCTATTTCATCTATAAAGTCCCAAAGCACGTAACTCAAAGACAGTTGTGAAGCTGCAAAGTAAGCGTTGTATGTGGATAAAGTAAGTTCCCTCAATATGCTTTAATAGACCAACAGGTTAAGAAAACTTGTAAAAGAGGAAAACTTACGAGAAAAGCACTGGAAGTTCTAATCTTCTAGATTAAATAGCAGTAACAACACAAATCCTGAATACAGCACACCCAAAGGTTTTGTAATTAGAAATTATAAGGTTTGCCTGAACATTTAAAATGGTGTATCATTAATTCACCCTATGTGCTACCTCACTTTTTTCTAAATATAATAAAGACTAAAATTTTTAAATGTAGTTAAAACCACAGATTTGAGTCGATATCAAAAGGCTTTTTTTATAAATGCGCTATGTATTGTCCCAATACAAGCAGGTAAAGATGACTTTTCCTTTTTTTCTTCTTTCAGTACTAAGAATTGGATCCAGGGCCTTTGCCTTAAGCAAGCCTTTTTGAGACAGGGTCTTTCTAAAGCAGTGTTTTTGGGTTGCTTTGTATTGTTTTCTGAGACATGGTCTCACTAACTCACTACATTGAGCTGGCCGGGCTCTAACTTGCAATTCTGCTGCCACAGCCTTCTAGAATACTGAGATTATAGGCATGTGCCACCATTCCTGACAACTTTGCATTTTTAACTGGGTTGAGATGCACAAAATTTTTATTAAGTATAACTACCAAAATGTGGTATTCAAGTACTAAAATCTTCCTTCTTCATATTTTTGTCAAATGATCATGTTCATCCTCAAGGAAGCTCATCTTTGAGGATAATTTATTGTGTCACCATTACGTCCTTTTTGCTTGGGCTGTGATAAACCAAGCATAATAATCACGCATCTGGCATGAAAAGAAAATCACAAGATCCAAAATCAGTTCACACATGTTGAACTCAACCACATGCTGTAGACATGCTGACTTTACAATACAGTCAGGCTTCTAGTTTCCTTTACTTTAATCACTATCCGATGTGTAGAACAATTCCAACCACTTCATGTGGACACAATTTAAATCCCAGACTGTAAGAAGAGTGGAAAGAACGTTTATTTCCTTTTTATTCCCTTGGCATTTGTGTTCATACTTGTCGGACTAATGAACTCAATATGCAGGACAGCTCTGGATAAACTGGTTCCACTAGCTCTCCACTCATACATTACAAAATGTAACAATTTCAGTCACAAGGGTTCACACAGAATATGGGAATTTTGTCATACTACTTTAACAAGCCATTAATAAATAAAAATGGATAGACAACTGTCCAGGACATCCAAATGAAGTTTTGATTTTATAGAACTTTTGTTTTTCTAGGTTTTTATTACTACCCTATAATTATAAAGACTAAGGAGACTGTCTACTAAAGTAGATATTACTCTCGTTTTACAAATAAACTGAGATATGGAGAGATTAAACTGTGTGGCTTGTCCAGATCAATTTGATTACAAAAAATATTCTACCATACCAACCTGCAGAACTACTGAAATAAAAATAACTTTTGTCATTGGAAAACCAGCAAACTTTGAAGGGACTGTCAGGAGCATAGCAGCTTTAAATATAATAATCTAAAAAATTCATGGTCCCCGTGATACAGGAGTTAAATTATATTACTTTTCTCACAAACTAGGATGACACAACATAATGGAATAGCTGATTCTGCAGCTGTCATTTCAAAATACACAACTCACACCAATTTTTTTTTAAGTTAAGTATGAATGCAAACAGTCACTTGATGTAAGTAAACGCATAAACCCGAGATTCACGACAGGCCCTTCCTGGCTGTCTTCCAGCTTCAGGCAGTACCTCAGTGTCCTTCTGGAAAGCCTGGGAAAGCTGCTGCAATTCGCTTTCACACTGGGCTGCTCGTGACTTTTCCTTCTCATAGCAGTGCAGCACATTTTGCAGTTCTACTTTTAAACTGCCTACTAAAGCCTCTCGGTCTGCACACTTAGTGCGTAAGTGACTTAACTCTTTATGGACTTCAGCCAGTTTATCTTGAAGTTCCTGTCAGAGATATCAAATAGAGAGATTGAAAGGAGAGTCCCCAGTGGGAAGGCAGACCGATAAAAAATATATAATAGAAACTTTCAAAGCTTCAATACGAAACAATAAAACACTGGCTTTAATGCTAATCACAAAAGTATTTTGCTGAAAGTATTTCCTAAGTACGATATTCTAGCTCAAAAATCAGAATATTTGTTTTATTTGAACATGTGCACAAAATGTTAATAAAACAGATTATTCCAAAAAGCTCTTTAAAGGCAGTTTTCCTTTCAACTTATTAAAAAAAGAAGTTGATAATTCAAAACATTTTAATAACACTTTAATAACTTTTTAAAGTATATCTCTTTACATTTAATATAAGAACATTTTCTTTCCAATGACATTCCAAGTACTAACAAAAATCTCAAGTATGTGGCATAAAATTCAGCTGAACTATTCCTTAACCTTAACAAATTCTATTGAAGTGTGTCCATGACAAACTAAACATGAACCAACACAATAAAATTCCAACAATACTGTGCAACTAGAATTTTGCAAAGATGTAGCACATAAAAATAGTGCAGAAAACTTTATTTCTGGACCTTAGCCAGCTGTGGTCTCAACTCATTAGCAGACATGAAGTACTAAAAACAACGGCTAGACTCTAAAACGATGAAAACTGACTCCAAATATAAGTGTGCTTATGTGAAATACATTTAATAGTGCAAGTAGCTAAGGCAGGAAGATACTAAATCTCAAACTGTTTTTGAAGCTGTATTATAATTACATCAGAAAAATCCATTTTTCCTTTAAACAAAATAATTTGCAATCAAGTTTTATTTTTAACTGAAAAAAATGTTACTTTGATCAACAACAAAATATTAAAAGTACATACTAATAAACTTTATAAATAGGAATACATATTTTCAGCTATCTCTAGAATATTCCCAAAATAAGTATATTTCTTCTTAATAAAAAATGAAAAAATCCTAATCATACTACCTTTATATTTTTAGTATGAGAGTCAATCTTCTGTTTGGTAGAATCAAGTTCATTAGCTGCCTTTTCCTTCGCATCATTCATGTTGTTTAGCTGATTAAAAAAAAAGTAACTTTTTCACATTTCCCAAGGATGGATAACTCAAAAGCTAACCTTTAAATGCTTTTTATGCAATTGCTTAAATATACATTTGAATAGTAATTAAGAGTCTTGTAACAATTATTCTATTGGTTAAATACTACATATTCTCTGTCACAAGTTCACAGGACTAAAAAGAAAATAAAGCATGCTTAAAATGTCAGCAGTATTACTGAATTTTTACTAGATGTCTGGATAAAGGATTTCATTCTTACTGTAAACAACTATAACTTTATTCTGAAAATCCTACTGGACCAAAATGCCAGAAGCAGTGATATCTACAAGGAAAGAAAAAAGAACAGAGCCGAAGACTGTTTTTCTATACATCATGAGGGTATTCACTGGTCTCTCTCTCCATATGACAACTTCAGGGTCAGTCACATGCAGTCCTACTGGGAAGGCTTGTGGCAGGTCATCAGTTGGTCCTGCACCACTTGTGATTTATTTTCTTTGACAGTTCATTCTTCTTTCTGTCAGACTGCTCTTTTTGCTTTCTTTGCAGCCACCCCCTTGGTCTCCCCACTGCTGTCTCTGGCACTGGTTCACAACAAAGCACATTACTAAGCCAAAGCCTGCTGAGTCGACTTTTCAGCTGTGCTGAGGATCATGTGACATTCATCCTCCAAATAACAATTCGCTGTGGGTAATATGTTCCTAGTTACCCTGCAGCTTCCAGACCTAGGTCTCAGAAGAGTTTCATAAACTACTAGCAATACAGGTCGCCTTGTCTCACAACGAAAGACTTAGCAATACTTGTTCTTCATAGAAATTTAATTATTTCAAGAGTTACTTTCTATTTTTCTTTTTGAAAATTTACATAGGGTATCAAGACAACTCACTTTTCCTCCTTTGTTCACCCTAACTAAAATGAGCTTTCTACCAATATGTTAAAATAATGGTCTTATGGATTCTGTAATATATGAAACACTAAAATCTTTGTGACTTCTCCTCAGCTGAACAATCTGTTTTGTTAACTAACTATATTTAATGTAATTACTTTATATGCTAATTTGACAAGATATAAGTAGACAAACTCTTTAATTCTTAAAGCAAAAATTCATAAAACATTTTAATACCCAAGAAAATCATCAACTCACAGATTAAACAATACAAATGAGCATGAGTAGGAGCATGAGCTTTTTCAATCAGCAAACTAAAAGCTTCCAGGCTACATCAAAAGAATATTTGTTTTTAAAAACTTCTAACAATACTTCACTCCCTTTAGAGAATGAAAATAATTACTCTCTTCTATTATGACATCCACAGTTTCTCAAACTAAACTACTGACAACACTTAAATTTCCACTAGCTATTGCACATCATAAAACACGTTAACATCTTAATAAACATGTATTAATTTAAATGATTTGCCCAGCTTTTTTATTAAATTAACAGATAAATTAAGAAGTGCCAACATCTTTATAACTGAAAATAATAGTGTGCCTGAAGAGTTACAAAAATAAGTGAGAGACTACATTAAGCCATACTTACAGAAAGAACAGTGACAGACAATTTATTATTTTTTGTATTTGTGAAGCTGTCAATTCAACATTCCAATCTTTTCGACCTTTGTAACAAACAAGGAATACGTACTGGTACAGGCCGAAGGCTATATGTGTGGAGCCAAACAGTGCAAGTGTTACCTCATTAGATGCATCTTCCAGCTTGCTCTGGTAATCTGTCAAGGTACGCCTCAAAGTCTCAAGGACAACAGAGAAGCTCGGAGGTTTACCTTTGTCCTTGTGGATGCCTAGAGAAGAATATAGGATGAAAATATACACTTAAAGTCACATAGGCACAAAAAATAAGCAAACAATAACAGAGATATTACAATCAGATGTAGCAGAAAAGACATTATGAAATATTAAGTACAATTTTGTTCTCCAAGCATGCTGCTATATAGCCAAGTATTAATCACTTTCCAAATTAAAGTTCATAGTATACAAAGTTAAAATAGATGGCTACTTTCTACCTTATCACAATCCATATGACAGTAATTTTTTAATCTCCTAAGTAACAGCAACGTTTGTGTATACATGTTATCCAACAATTAAATGAATATACTAACACTGTTTTGGGAAATTACATAAACCTACTTGGTGCTTGTGTTTCTGATCAGTCAGGCCTTTTATAAAGTACTATTTTGCTTAAATAATTACTTCTGAACCCTAGAGTGCATAATTTTTCATTATGCTTGGAAATATTCCTCAATCCTTATAATTCTCAAGTTACAATTTAAAATAAACAATAAAAATGCTATTATCTACATAGCCCACATCATATTTCAATTAAAAATTTTTAAGACTGAGATCCACTGCAAAAATATGAGTATTTCCATGTTATGTTCTCAGACTAATGTAGTTGGGCCATAAGTTAAATGACCTGAGCTAATTAAGGTCACATGGTAAAATAAAATTCCAAATACTAATCCAAAATAATCAAAACTTGAGTTTCAAAAATCACTTTAAATTTATTTTTTATTTTACTATTCTTTATTATTTTACTACTCTAACCCTTAGTGTTAAAAAATAAGTATCAAACAGTTTGAAAACATTCAAACTAAAAATACTCATTTCCTGATATAATTTCTCCCCACAGTTTATAATCTAAATACTTCAATATGTAACAGTGTATTTTTAACAAAGATAATTATAAAAGGCATTTACAACATGCATTTCATCGTTCATTCATTCAATTAATTTACTGATTTCCAATTATGTACTAATCTAAGGCATTAGGCATGCAGAGGTGAGCAGGAGCAGTGGCCTCTGTCCGTACACAATATACAATCCAGTAAGAGGATGACATAGTAAATAATTAAAATGAGATCATCCATTTTCAGTTATTCTAAGACTGTAATTTGTAGGGCAGAAGACAAGAGGCAATAACAAAGGAAAGAAAAATTATCAGTTAATGATAGACCAACTTTATTCATCTTAGTTTACTTAAATTTTGTGAAAGTATTAGTAAATTTATGACATTTATCAAGATACATTTAAACGCTATCTTAGATAGGAATACAACATTTTTAAACAAAAGAATATTTGGCCTAAAGACCAAAAGTAATATAGAAGCAACACTTATCTAGGAAAAAAATACACAGCTCTGAGCCATGGAGGAGAGAATACTCTCTGTAATGACTATGAGCTGGAAAGACAACTCATTAAAAATTTTATTACAGGTCTTACCAATAGTGCACTATTTTTTTAAATTGCTCTCTTGCACAAGATAAAAAAGTAATGTATAATTCTTTTCTTTTGCCACTACACAAAGTCGGCCATGAATAAATCATTCAAGGACACTCAGGAAGTCTGCTAGTTTTTATAATAAGGGAGAAAACTTCCTCTCAGAAATTCAGAAGAGTAAAATCATCTTAATATGAGAGTTGAGGAGTAAGGGGACAAAATGGTCTTTTCTTAATGGCCCATGCACACTTTTATATTCTATATTAAGTAAAGTTTTCTTTATTTAATACAAGGAAGTTTACTATAGGTACACTGTATGCCTTATGTCCTACTAATATGCATTATTAAGAAATACTTACTGGTCCTTTAACATGACAAAAGGCTAACAAATAGAAAGAGAGGGTCTCTCTGAACCAAGAACCTTACTTACTGATTTAATTTAACCTAATGATATTCTAATCAGTGCACTATGGCCCAAACACAACAGACTATTAAAAGTATCCTATCAGAAAAAGGTTTAAAAACTCACTAAGTAGAGTTTTAGAAAAAGATTTGAACAACAGTAATAACTGGCTCTTCAAAAGTCAAATTCCAAATGAAGAACAGACATGTCAGGCAGGCACAATACCTGTAATTTCAGTTACTTGAGAGGCTAAGGCAAGAGGATCTTGAGTTCTAAGCCAGTCTGGGCAACTTAGCAAGGCCTTGTCTCAAAATTTAAAAAATAAAGGGCTGATGAGGTAGCTCAGAGGTAGAATGTTTGCCTACCATGGGTCCAAGCCCTAGTACTGGAAAAGAAAATCAACTCACAATCTGTTTTGTCTCCTCTCCCTGTGTGTGTCTCTGTACGTGAGTAATAGCCTAGGCTTTCACATTACCACTCCCTGCTTCCCTCTCTCCCTCTCGCTTTTGAGAAGGATTCAACTCTCAGTACGCTTTGCAAAGCTTTCTTTCAATTAGTAGCCCACAAGATGGAATAGGGTAGAAGAAAATGTTCCAAATACCATTTAAATGTTTTCTTTCAGACAATCTCAAAAACTAAGTATTTTTACATGATGCATATCATCCACTGTTTTTGAAGCTGCTGTTATTACTTCAGTAACTTACAATTCCACAGTGTAATGAATGAGGTGAATCTATCTCCCATACCTTCTCAACCATCCCCTTACCTATTTCTGTTTCCTGCAAGACCCCAAAAGGAGGGAATTATTTTAAAATAGACATAATTGGCCAGGCATGGTAGCGAATGCCTGTAATCCCAGCACTCAAGAGGGTCACCGCAAGTTTGAGGCCTGCCTGGGCTACATAGTGAGTTCAAGGCCAACCTAAACTATACAGAGGGACCCCATTTCAAAAACAAAACAGAAAAAAAGAAAAAAAGATACCTGGATAAAACATGAGTAGTCACATAGATCCTCAGAACAGATGGGAGATTTTTTGTTGTTTGTTTATTTTTTAATCATCTCTTAGAAAACAGAAAAAAACTACATTCAAATGGTTCTTATTTTCACCTCACCATGGTTACCATAGCAGGCATCAGAGTCAAAGCAATACACAAAAAGGTGCGACCCATGGAAAATGCTGGCACTGGCTAACTGACCATGGTACTCC